CATTTCTGTTACCAAATCTTCCAGTAACGCATACAACGCAGTATGAGAGGGGTGCGGGAGAGTAGCGCTGCCTCCCCCCCCCCTCCTCAGTACGCTGGCTTCAACGAAACTACAGCGTGTCCTCTCCTTAATGTTTAATCCTCCTAGTGACCAACGGAATAACGACAAACAGCTGATTATCGCCACGCGCTTGTTTTGGCTTGTTTATTATTGAATCACTCTAGTAGGTACTAGGGGGTAGTACGTACTAGGCAGGTAGTACTTACTACATCACATAGGGAACCCCTAGTACTTACTACCTAGTTCTAGCTAATTCTTATTCACTTCGATTTGAGCAAGTGCTAGAACTATGTAGTACGAACTATGTAGTATGTACTACCTTTTATTCACCTCACCCATTGTTCACGTGTATTGTGTATCGATGGATTTTATTGTTACCACAAAAATTAATGGAATATTGTTATGGATACAAATTCTTTACGTTTAAAAACTGACAGTTTCACAAAGCAAAATAATGTATCGACCGAGACATTCCTGAATCCTGACCTAGAAGAAGAACGGCAGTCACGTCATTGTTTTGACCTTTGCACGCCAACATGAAAGTGCACACAGGTAGGAATACCTTACCGACTTGACACACATCGGACTTGGACTAGATCCTTCCATGTGTAACAATAATAAGTATTTAAAGTTTATAAAATAATAAAATATCTTATCCTAAAAAAAGCTCATATTCTTTGGATAGTATAGGCAGGCTACAGTTAGCACTGATATGTTTCGTGTGGATAAAAATGTATACAATTTGCTGCTTCATACCAATTTTGTTCGAAAACATTTCACTTAAATTTAGATCGTTGTTCCTACTGTGTAAATTGTAATTGTATAGCACGAGCGCAATATAGCCTAGATTCTCCATTTCGATTTTTTAAATGTATGTACAGTGTATAATATCGGTTTGTCTCAATATTGTCCGTCTTTCCATTGTAAAAATATAAATCGGAGTGGGTACTGTCACTGTATTATTTTACCCCTTATCTAATCCATGAGTATACAGTATAGCAAAGCTAAACTATACGAGTCATCTCACCAGTAACCTTAAATATTTTATTATTTTTAGTAAGAATTCGCAGTTTTGAGTTTTGTCCCGATCGTCGTTGATGTAACGTTATGGCAATATCGTAAAACGTTTGAGGAATTGAGACGGATTCTGTCATTGCTTCAGTGGACATCTAGCTTGTGAATCAATCATTTATAAATTTATGTCATTGTCATTTATTTATTTAAATTTATTATTTAATCATTTATGGCGTCATTTATAAATATTGATTTACAAGCTAGATGTCCACTGAAGCAATTACAGAATCAGTTTTAGTAACAACCCATCAATCAGGCAAGCCGCCTCAATTATCAGCAAAATGTTAAAATATCAACTAATATCATAGCTTGACTAACCGAGGAAGAATAAGCTAGATATGTCAGGCTGACATGCCAAGCCAATGGCGAATCGTCACGTAGCTCAGTAGTTAATGGCGACCTTGTATGTATATTGTGGCCATTTACAAGCCACAACTTCCCACTACTGTACGTACAACTATTTGAGGGTGAGTCACACATACGAGGCCGCCGCGCCGGGCCGTATAGTTCCGCGATAAATGTTGATAACAACGTATTTACACCATTTACACAAATATTTCTACAATGTTTTTCCCTGTTATTATGCTTATATCTGGTAAAAAAAAAAAACTGATCACAAGACAATGTTTTGTTGTTTTATATATATTTGAATGTGATCGATGGATCGAGTATGAGTCGAATGGTTATTATCACGTATTAGGTACACTATGGGTGAGTATTTTTACACAAATTTGAGTAGATGCGTGTTCGGCTGCTCTGAGATTCTAAATCAATCTATATAAATAAAATTACAGTTTTGTCTGTACATTGCTTAGAATCATGCAGTTTTTGGTTATTTTTACGTTTCATAGCCTAAGAAAGCCGAAACGAGTCTTATCTCAATTTCTGTCTGTATGTCTGTCTGTTTGTCCATTCTGTGGTTGTGTCTGTAACGCCAAAATGTCATTTTACGCGGCCTACTCCTAGGAAACTACAGTACCGATCAAGATTCTAATCATTTGTCTGTATTTACTGGATTGGTAAGAGTGTCTTTGGCTATAAAAACATGGCCCCGCTTCCTTGAAAGCAAAATAACGAACCATCAAAAACGCAATTTTGTTCGATTTTTGTAAAATTTTCTCCTAATGTTTACTATTACATTTGGTGAAATAACGATCAGCTGTTTGGATTAGTTCTCACTTCTAGCTGTCACTGATATGTTTACAATAAAAGTTGTTTACAAATACCGCAACCATTTCCGATCAAGTTTTGTTAGCACATCCAAACCAAGTGAGATTACAAACGTTGTGCCTTACCTAACCGGTTTAATTAATCGCAAGTAGCTTACAAAAAAGGTTTCCACTCATTGACGGTGCTTCAAGGACATTTGTGTAAAGTGCAAAGTAAAAAATCACAACTGCAGTGGGTGACTGGGTGATCGTGGATGTTGCTGCGATCTTGGAAGATCTTTCTGATTTTGCTGTGATCGTAACAGAGGTTTTTATTACAGATGTAGCTAAACTTGCTTTTCCAATGTGTCACTTTTGAGGTTTTACTTACAGATGTAGCTAAACTCGCTTTTCCAATGAGTCACTTTTGGTTTTTACTACTTACATTTCGACAACGATATCGGTACTTTTCCTACTTAGGAAGTAAAACTACAAACGTCCAAAACCCCAGATTTGTGCGTTTTTTGTCACATTTCCTCCGAATGTTTGCTAGATACTATGTACCAATTATCGTTTTGAGATTACGCATTCTTTTACATAAGAAACCTTTGTTTGGATAAAGGTGGTTTCTTCAAACTGTCATTAATATGTTAACATTGAAAGTTGCTTACAAATAATGCTATTAATGGAAAATAACTTTGATTTTCGAAAACTTAAAAGACATTTAAAACCAAGGGAGATTAATAACTTCGGTACTGCACCACATCAAGTGAAGTTTTTTTTTTTAGCGAACCATAGTGAGTTTTAAAGCTTTACGTTGTTAACGTTACATGTTACATGTTTTGTGGCCTATGTATTTATTTATTTGCACCTATAAAACAGCTTGTATGGCTTGAAATGGCTGTCCATTTCTGTTGTCTCCGTGTTTCCGATTGGTCAGCCATGTTGTTTCAGTCTCATTGGTGGAGTCATTGCGTACGGTGCTATTAGTGTTCCATTGTGTGAGTTTTTAAGTTAAACTTTTTATAGATTATAGTGATTTGTTATTAATTGCATTTTGTATCATGACTTGACTGCTATACAGTGCATATTTTTTGACTACTACCCTTTGTAGTGTATTCCAACTTAGGTTGGGCGTTTGTGTATTGTTAGTTGTAATGTGTTAGTTAAGTTTTTTTCACCTGAAGACGGGATCAGATTCCAGATCCCGAAACGTTGTGTATTGTTTTTTACATTCGTGATGGAAAATGTTCGCAATAAACCTTTGAACAACATTAACTCACCATCACCAACAATGAACTTCAAACAAAGAATTATTTTGTTTGTAATTTGCTTTGGTTAAAGCGTAGCAAATCCCCTAATTCAATTCTGTTATTGTGTGTGTATGTCTGTTGGTAACGCATTAATGTCCATATTTCTCAGTGTTTCTTGGAAAAGACAAGATAGCACCTTTGTTAATGAACATTTCAACCAAAATAAAGTGTGCAGTAGTGAGGTTGAGGTAGTATTTTTAACTACTTTTAACCAGTGTGAAAAGTAACTTTCAATTACAGGCCTACCTTAGGGCTATGCCTCATAGATCTATAAAGCAATTCCCTTTATCATTAGATATAAAATATGGACTAACACGATCGGGTGACATTTAATTGCGAAGCATTCGTTTTGGCTTTGAAACTGTCAGATATTGTATTTGCGAAGGCTTATTGTATTCCTATACAGTACAGTAATAGTTTTGCCAGCATATCTGGAAAAATGCACACCAAATATGCAAACCAACTAATGTTCTGAATATAAGGTTTCAACTTGCCACAAGATTCCCGTGCGTAGAACGGGCAAACATCTAGTCAAATGATAAATTTTGTGTAATATGTTAGTCATGAGTATTTTGAATTGTTTTATTCTGTTGTACTTATTTGTTTTGCTGTCATTTGTTATGCCTATATTAAATGTTGACGGATGCCATGCAATTGTTCTTAAAAAAATGTAAAAATTTTAGGTCAGATTGCAAATCCACACACCTAAGACGAACATTTTGGTACGGTATATAATGTGTGGGGTTAAATCTTAAAACAAAAAGCGGTATTGTTAACAAAGTTTCATGTGTCGTATTAATAATATAAAATTGTTGGAATGTTATACAAGTAGTATTATAAGTATCAATGCTTTGATTTACTGATAATACTGTATTTTAATACAAACTTTGGATAACGAAATGTCAATTAATATCATAGGCTATGTTATTTTAAATCAAAATGGCTAAGGACCTTCTATTACATTAGGCCCTAAATAATATATTTTTTATATGTGTAGGCCTACAATGTAAATTACCGAATATACGTGGGCTCCATATGGAACCCAGTAAACACAATAGTTTTGTAATACACTGTACAGTACTGAATAACCAACCTACACTATTTTACATTTTTAAACTACTTTTTCTCTGTGCATTAATGGATGTTCGATTGAAATACACTGACAGCATAATGATCATAAATTGATTGATCATTTTATAGTTGTCAAAATTTACATCACTTTTCCAGTAAAATAAGAAATTATAACTAAATACTAAATCAAATGTTGAGAATTTCAAATTTAAACACGTGTTCTTTAATTAACACACAAATATGTAATAAAATCCACTTAAACTAATTAATAGGAGAAAAGTAATAACAATAGGCTACTGCAAAACAAGTAATTTTCGTTACAGGTAAAACTAACCTCCACCGAATCCTCCAAACATGTTGAATATAGCAACGCGGCACAAAGTAACGTCAAGAAGACTGAAGACTATAGACGATATCTGAAGTCAAGGTTGTTGTTCAACGCGATGTCTAGAGTGAATCTGAACTGAACTGACTGAATTATATTCTACACTACACTGCAGAGTGCAGAATAGAATGCAGAATTGAACACAGCTGGAAGAGCGTTGTGGAAGGGTGGGGTTGGCCAAGGTTATGTCGACCGGTCGATAGTTAGATAGTCGCGGTATCGAAGCGATGCGATACTAAATGTTCGATGGATCGAGTCGTATATTTCCTCTTCAACCATGATCTCCTGATTACTTTCTTATATTTTACCGAAGAAAACCGCTCTATTATCATCATCCTCCCCGAGAGTTTTCGTTCGTTATTGAGCTTGGGCACGATCTTCTCTAATACAAACAGTTCAACATGTACGGCGATTGTTTCATTTGTGAGGTTACGGAAGTTTATGTCCATATTGAATATGTAAAATATGTTACGACTATATTGAATAGTTGTAATATAGAGATCTATGTTCATCCCCTTAGAATTTGAGGTGGAATTTAAAAAAGAAATGGAAAAAACAAATCATATTTAAGATAGAGTGAATTGGGACAGGAATTTCACTCCAACAAATTTTATTCTTATGAGTTCAGTTCAAAACGTAAGATCCAGAATTTTACATCCTTGGAAATTTATTATTTACCAATTTATATTAAGGTTACATTTCAGTAAAAAAAAACCTTTGGATACATTTAAGCTTGGTGCTTTCCAAACATACGTAGATAATCATTTTCAGGTTTTAGGTTACATTAAAATTACAGTAAATACAACCCCTTATATATCTAACTTTTTAAATACAAACATTACTTTATATGATTTAAAAAATAATAATTATCGCGGATGAAAATTAAAATCCTCTGTGATTTATATACTTAAATTTAGACTACATGTTAAGTATGCACCAAAGAATCGTTTAAAACCCTGGGATGTGTCTTTTTGGTAAGAACGAAAATACTCCAAGGATGATTTTAGCGTGTAGGCTTTCAAAGTTTCCATGTGAAATCGTGTTGTTCTTTTTGTATGAATATGCTCAGTTTTATCATTGACTTAAATGGTCTTACCAGGTACAACAGATCTATCATTGATTATTCCGTCATAAAACTAATGGTTTACAGTCGATGGATTTATTTAGTCGAACTCTACAAGGTTTTACTTGCTATCATAAAGTTTTGATCAATTTGCTAATGCTCGATTTCATAAAACATCAAATCGAATAAAATTAAATAAAATAAGTTTATGCTTTATTAAAATTCATTGTTGAGCCCTAGAGCTATATTACTTTACGTCATTCGGTCGTTCAGCCCATCATTCTGAATGGTGATGTATGTTTCGACATAACTGTGTCATCTAAGCTGACCACTAGTGAAGTATATTCATCAAAATGGCTTCGTCGTTGTTCTTGAATTCACAAAACACTAACACGACACGTAGACAAATAATACTGTTGTTACCAAAACACATACGGACCACGTAGGCCTGCTGGGACGAGCATAACAGTCGCGCCGCGGGTCGGGGACTGATAAATAAATGAAATACCCCCGCCGCAGCAAACCTGCTGACTAAGCAAATTTCCATTTGTCTGAATTGATTTTTAATTAAATCTATTTAAAAACAACATTAGGTTTAATGAGTACCTGGATTCACTGCTACACGGAACCTAATAAAGTGTACCTATGTTTTAGTAAAATATTAATAGCTTAGTATAAAATAAATAAATTTGCCAAGTTTGATTAAAACATATCCATAAACAAGCAAACTACAACATTTTACAATATTCTCCATAAAAATAACATGGGAATTTTAAATTTACAATTATTCGAACTTTCTCCGTTGCCAATAACCGTACAAGAACACTTTGATATACTAAATTATTTGTTTTTAAAGCTCATCTTCAAAAATGTCTAGAGAGAAATTGGGAATTTTTGTGTTTTTAGGGTAAAAATTAAAAGCCCATTTTTTACCCCATATAACCTCCCGTAAACCCCCGTTTCCATGGTCAGATCATGCTGGTTCGCGAACTCATTCAAGTTTACCCCGCCTACTGCACTCGTATAAATTAAAATAATCAATTTTTTTAAACCTTGTCCTCTCCCATTACTGCAATAAGCATTTTACAATTTTATGCCAACCCTGTACGAAGGACGGGTACTCTGCTCTGCTAGTCTATATTTCAACACCACTATTCCAGTCCTTGATAACTGGTGCTGGTAAGTCATAATCGGCGAATACTGTCGATTCAAACGTTCATTCGATGTGTGCAAACGTCGATCTCGGTTCTATCGCGAAAGTCGCTCCTTTTCCATTGTTACTAACTACTTACTTGGCGCAAGCGCAGCGCTACACAAATCGATTCTTTGAAAAATAACATTATACAAGAGCTGGGAATGTTTAAAATTAAACTATTATGTAAATTCCAAATATAATATTTTTTTAAAAAAGGTTTGTTTATTCCGAGTTGGCGCCATTTCACATGTTTGGCGGAAGTCAGCTGGACTTAATTACAGTATTTGGCGGGTGAGCGTACGCGACCTTGAAGATGCGAATCTCGTCCCAAGACGCAAGTTCGCCCGCCGAGTATCAGGCGTTCAGAAGTAGATAGAGGTTTTTTGCACTACGTTTGCGAATCTCCCCCCCCCCCCTTTCACTCATGTGGTAGGGCCATGACCAACGCAATTGATTGAATAAATGTCAATTTTACAAAAGTCCTTGACGTAGCCATGTAGCCTATAATATCAGTCGCAAATACCTTTCATAAAATATTTTTAGAGCATGGGTAGAAGTGTAGTTCTATTCAATTTGTAACTATGCATGTCTACATAGTTTTGTGTAAAAGAATAAATGAGAACTTAGATTCCAACAGTCTTTTGAAATAATTTTAAGAGTAACTTATATTATAATTCAGACTTAAGTTATATATATTTTCATATTATTGAGGAATAACTTTTTTAGCACACCTTTTCTTAAATGTAATACTGTAGATTATTTAATATAAAAAAATCTCCTCCGCAATATGGTACTTCAATATGGAATATGAAACACCATCACTGTTAAATTCAATTTTTTAGTTCAATGGTTCTCTACATGTATTTTTTTCGTTCTGGTTGTCTCACTTTAATGACTTTAATGACTGTTAATGACTTTTTACCTTTTATTTTATTTTTGTACTTTTCACACCCTGGGGGATTATGATAAACTTTTATAATGATGTAATGGCCCGAGTCAACTTTACCTTTAAACATCAAGTCACACACTCTTCGCCAGAACTGAAATCGTAAGTCACAGTTTCTCAAGCAACCAGTGCCGGATTTACCACTAGGCCGATTAGGCCGCGGCCTAGGGCCGCAAGCAGAAGGGGGCCGCAGAGGATTGAAAAAAACATTTTTTAGATAATTTTTTTTTTTTTTACCACCAGCGATCACAGGTGACCATAATGATATCTCCGCGGACCAAGGGAGATGTTCACGATTTTGCCACGGCCGCGGGTGACGGCACAGAAAACATACTACTATAACCTTATAGTATAAGGTTATATTAGTATGTTTTCTGTGGTGACGGCGATGTGTCCTCATGGTCGAAACCCGCGAGAGACGTTCAAGAATTAGCCGCTGTCACGAGTGTCGATGATGTTGTCCCCGTGATTGCGGCCCACGGGAGACGTTCACGATTTAGCCGCGGCCGCGGGTGACGGCGATGTGTCCTCATGGTCGCAGCCCACGAGAGACGTCCAAGAATTAGCCGCTGTCACGAGTGTCGATGATGTTGTCCCCGTGATTGCGGCTCACGGGAGTTGTTTACGATTTCGGCACGACCGCGGGGGACAATTATGATGTCGTCATGATCGCAGTACACCGGAGATGTTTTAACACGACTTTGCCGCGATCGCAAGTGTCGATGATGATGTCCCCGTGATTGCTGCTTCACGGGAGATGTCTACGATTTGGCCACGGTCTCGAGTGTCGATGATGATGTCCCCGTGATTGTGGCCCGCGGGAGATGTTCACGATTTTACTGTGGTTGCGGGTGACGGTGATGATGTCCTCAAGGTCAAAGCCCACGGGATATGATTTCGCCGCGGTTGTGACTGTTGAGGATTATGTCCCTTTGTTGCAGCCCGCGGGGGATGTTTTACGATTTTGCCGCGGTCACGGATACCTATGATGGATTTGTCTTGGTTTAGGAGAGATGTCTACGATCACGGGTGTCGATAATGATGTCCTCTAGATGCATAGGAGATATTCACGATTACTTCCGCTATCTCAAGGAATTTCCACCACAGGGGGAGGGCCACTCAAGTAATTTGGCCTAGGGCCGCAAGTACCCTAAGTCCGGCACTGCAAGCAACAAGCAACTTCCCTGTGTACTCGAAAAAATAGTTAGGGGTATAGTTAATCACTTTTTGATAAATTGTAGTTCCACGTATCCATTGACTCTCAATTATCACTTTCATTCGGATCACTCAACTCGAAACTAACACATTTTTCAAAAATACCAAATTTACATTGTAGTTCAACGTATCCAGCATACTCGCCATCTCGAGAAAGTAACGGTTGTACCGCTGAACATTAAATACTGATCTTGAGTAAGATTCATTACCTATGATAAAATTGTTGTATGTTTCCCACTCATTAGCAATATTCTGTAGGCTACAACTTGCAAGCAGATTTCCATAGGATTGTCCTGGTGGCCAAAGAGAATAAATTATATTGATCGAAACAATAAGTTTCCGTCCCCTACTATGGGTTAGGGTATTATTTCACATTCCATACTTAAACTTAAACTCAGTTACCACTCTCCTCCAGAACCACTTAGCAGGAAAATAACACATTTATAAATAATACATTGTAGTATATACTCCTAGATTAATAAATTACATACTGAAAGTGAGGTTTTAAAAATAATAACAAATGTCTGACAATCATAAAACAGCTTACGAATAATTCACCGTGAATAATAAAACTGTGAATTATTCTTCAACAAGTATTGATTTGACTCGACCTTTGAAGGGCTCTAGGTCGTAGCCCTTAGAAAAAACGTAAATTCTAAGGAAGTTCGGCAAATCTACGCATTA